ATGATGTTGAGTGGGATTTCTTTTTCTTTCTTTTTTTTAAACGTGAATTAATTAATTGTTGGAAAGGGGCGCTGCCTTTGCTGAAGTTACATCCAGGGATCAGAGTCAGTTTAACCAGATCAAGAATTCTTGATTCTCAATAATGTCTAAAAGAAAGAAGCTGATCTCAGTCCTAAATTTTAATCTTTATTCGCCCTTTTCCAACTGGATGTGATGCATATGAAGACCGATGGTGGTGAATGATGTAGCATTTAGCTATGATCCACTCTTCTCCTTATTGCTAGCTGTTTAATGTACTTAACAACACAAACATCACAGGTGTTGGTAGCTTATTTTTTTTCTTTGTAACCCAGTTTTCTACTAAATTTTTAGTTCAGCCTCAAGTTGTATACAGTCTGTGGATGTATGATTTAGAATTGTTTTGTCCCATCTTTCTTTTCCACCAGAAGTGGAACTTTTGTGTGTGTGAGAGATAGGGGTCTAAGAGTAATTATTTGCGCCATTTTAATATTTAAGAGCAGTGTTTATATTGGACTGAAGTCTTGATTTGATACTTAAAATACCCAGATGCATTTAAAAAAAAAAGTGGGTTTTCCCTTTGCCTTTTTGAATAATTAATTACATATATCAACAAAAAAAGATATCGATGTGTGCCTTCCATATCGGCCAGCAAAAATCTAAATGTCAGTAAAAGTTGGCTAATGAGGTCTTAAAAGTTATTTCATTTGTATTCCCAGTTGAATTATGAGTGCTAATTAACATCATTACCCTCAATGTCATAAAGGAAAAGTCTAGTTTGGCACCAAAAGTCGCATCACAACAAAACAGGATTTGTTTTGAGTTTGACCATTTATTAAATTATTTACTGTGTTAATTTAAATGAAGCTCAGTGACTCCTGCATCTTGGCAATTATTATATTCAGGTAATGGATTCACTGTTTGATGAATCGTCATTTTTTGGATCGTATTTGTAAATAATATTGAGCCACAACTGTTATGGGGAAATTAGCCTTTCGCAGGTAGCCACTTGTGTCACCTGTCTAAAACTGCTCAAAAACTAAATTGTATGTATATTCCTAACTCACAGCTAACACATCTAGACAATTGACAACTGGGTTTTGCATCTTCCCACAACAACTCTTCTACATGTTCAATTCTTTGTTGTTGTTTTCATTGTGGTGACTACATTGTACACACAGTTTGGGATTTCTGTAGGGATTTTTTAATCACTTTGCATCCTCTGTCACACATCTTATTTAAGGTTGTTCACCAAACTGAGTTGTCTTCTTTCAACAAAGGTTTATATTTTTATTTTAGTGTCTGTTATATTTTCAGTTCTGCTTGTAGGTTTTAGTTTCATGTAGATAACACCCAACTTTAACATATAGGCCATTAACCTTACTGTTGTATTAGAAAAAAACATATTTAAATATGGCTGCTTATTGCTCCTTATAATAATAAATGTATTGTACAGATAGAAACAACGGTCTTGTCTCTGTTCATTCATACTGCTCAAATGTTGTATATATTTCAGCTGATTTTACAATACGTTATGCGAACACCCAATTAATACAGTGAAAATGATATCTGTACCTTTTCAAATTAAACATGAAGAATGTCCAGGTTGGATTTTTTTTCAGGAACTGCCATCGATCACCACTAGGTGTCGCTACAGGCCCTCATATTAGTTGGAGGGGAAGAGAGAAGGGAGCTTTACACCCAGAGACTTTAGGAGACTCAAATCAACCCAAAGGCAGCAGCAAAATGCATTTTTAAGAGTTGAAACTTGTTAGGTGGAAAAACTTGTTTGTTGGTGTATTGTTAAATTATATATCACAAAAATATAAAAAACTTAAATTACTATGGAAGAGTCTAGAAGACTGCAGCCCACCCACCGGGTGCCTTTGAGCCAATAAATACAACTTTTTGCAATCCAGCCTTTGTCAATTGTAAATGTGGATTTACAGAATAAATGTTGCAAATGACTAATCGTCACTGGAGAAATTATGTTATGTCAAATTATACAAGTAGAATACTAATGTTGAGGTTAAGGCACTGGCAAATTAGATTATAACACTCCTTACGTCTTTTATTTTAATTTTATTTTTGTCATATTTTGTTAGACTGACCGGTGGATTGGTCAAGGCCATAAGTAAGGAGGCCGAAAAACGACATAATGCCCACATTTGGGCATTTATTTAGAATGAATAACATGTAGTAGCCTACTCTGCAACCATACCCTCACTCACTGCCACCTGCACTGCCTGGCACAAAATGAAACTTTTACAGCCCGAGCCACCCTAAGGTGCTATCTAGAACATGGGGGCCTCAGACCGGTTTTACATAGAATACTGAAACAATATAAACATATAAACAACTATCAATGTTTTATTTACAACATAGCTACTAAACATAGGCTACATCTAACCAGTGGTGGAAACTAACTTTACTCAAGTATACTCTACATTTAGCTACTTTATACTTTTACTCCACTACAGTTTATAGGCAAATGTGTTGCTTTGTATTCACTTCATGTATTTTACAGATTAAGGTACTATGACTTTGGCAGTTTTAAATAATAAGATACAAATATAATTAGAATATAAAATCTCTAATATATTATTGTATTTTATTATAGATTAAGCTAGCCAGTGTATGTTTAAAAGAATTAAAATAAACCCACCTTTACCAAGTCCAACATTTAAGTTATGATCACATTAATACATGAATACTAAAACGATGGTGCATGACGAGTACTTTTTCTAAAAGTAGGCCTATATTTTGATGCTAATATACTTTTGGACTTTTGCGTATATGTACAATTTTGAATGCAGGACTTTGACTTGCAACCGAGTATTTCTACACTTTAGTATTGCTACTTATCATCTGAGTAGCCTACTTCTTCCACCACTATATCTAACATGTATTAACTCCAGAATGAACCCCCCCGGAACGATAGGTGTCGGTTTCACCGGGGAAACTTTTGTTCGCGCACGGAATTCAACACAGGAGAGCTCAGGTAAGTGTGATTTACCTGATACGCTCTTATTAATGTATCCATACACCTTTACATGAACGCTTTCAAAACTGCATAAGAGACGAATGCTGTTCATTCATAATATGTTATTTGATGTATTGATTGATCCATGGAAAGATCTACAATATGAAGTCATTCCACCCGCGTCTAGATAAAACATCATGATTTCAAGTGGCCTGCAAACATTACACCAATCCAAAGAGGTTCTTGAACGCAACATCTGCTTGTTATATTCCATTCTTGTGCCAACTATGTTAAAATATGCTAAAATGGCGTAGGCTACTGTGTAAGGATCCTGCAAGGATATAGGCTACTGCAAAAATAAAGGTGGGCCCATAATGAAACTCATTAACAACATAAAAGTCTCAATACGTAAAGTTTTCAGACTTGTGAATTTGTTAATTATTTATATAGTCTATTTGTATTTTAAATAATAATTTAACCAAGTGGTTTTTATTTGGGCAATTCCAGAGCAATTCCTGATCCATTGTTTCCGATGATTATACCCGTAACGGCAAGAAAACGAGGACATTGTTTGGTTATTGGTGTGTAGCCTACTGTTTGTTGAATATTACATTAATTAATTATATAAGTGAAAACACATTGGTCATAGCTGAAGTGACTTAAAATAATTCATTTATTTACGGAACAATATATAACTTCACATCCAATGTACATTTCAATCAACATGTCGCACAGAAATAAAACTTTTTTTTAGTTTTTAGTGTTTGTCGGAGTGAAAGCTGTGCGTTAACGGAACATTCTGTGTCTCAGGACGGACAGTGACATTAATTTTGAGGTAGATTCAGTAAATTCAATAATGTTCAACAAGAAACATCAACAACAGCCGGAAAAGTGTAGGCTACATTCAAGACTCCATTTGAGTTTGTCTGTAACATATCTAACCGGAAATACTTGATTAATAATACTGTAAATATTCTGACTGCCAAATTCAGAGGGAAGAAACAGTGACAAAAAATAAAAAAGATTCCCCCCAAAAATATGTGTTTCCTCTGGGCTCGTCTCCAGGACTTTAAATGTTTTCGATATTTCTTTTTTTCATATCCGTTTTACACGACATCATATTACAACAAGGCCGGCCTGGGTTTTAATGAGTTTATCAGTTAATTCATAGATGTTTTGTAGTTGAATGGGTTTGTGTGATTTAACACCACGTCAGTTTGAATGTGAACCGTTAAAAACTGTTCTACTGAGCATTGTAATAAAATGAAACTAAATCCGATTTGTATAAAATGTTTTGATAGTTTGAATATGTCTACTAAAGGCTGGCATCACGGAGCAAAACAAATAAAGTAGTCTATGCCTGAATATTCTTTCAAAGTTATAATTATAGGCAAAGTAGGCTATTATAAGATAATTGGGTTTATAACTGCTTTGTTATTGCACAAAAACTCTGCCGTGCGGCTCGTGTCACTAATTTGTCATAAATTACGAAGAATTTCAGGCAGAAAAAACCCAGCTGAGCCCAAATAAGTGTACAAAATATTTGTGGGTTACTCTGTAATGCTGTTCCTATCCGACCTCATCTTACATTTACTCCATTTGTTCTGTTTGTGTTCTGCTTTGCGTCCTCATGTGTAAAACAGCACCGCTCAAGACACCAGATAAAAACACATTTTTCCGGGGAGACAGATGTGTTTTGACACCGTGGCAACATCTGGTCTACAGTACAAACATCAAAAAACAGAAATACCACAAATATCAAACACCTACAGTCAGAATTGTCTGTGGAGTGAACCACACCGGGAGAGAGAAGATCAACAGAGTGTCCATGTCGCTCTCCTCCTCACCTTGTTAGCATGTTGTCCTTTAATTCTCTCATTTTGTGCTTCATTGCACTTGCACAGCGGTGTGTTAAGGTTCAGTCAGGCAGTGGTTTTTTATCTGATTTGAATCCAGAGTCTCGGGGTGTTTTAGGGGGGTGGGAGTGGAGGAGGGGGGGTCACTGGTTGAGCTCCAGAGCCCAGACCTGCTGCGGCCACCCGGTCCGGCCCTTCGCCTTCTTCTCGGCTCCTAATGCCTCCTGCAGCCCGTCAGGCTGTACCAGCAACAATACAAAATGAAAAGACACATTATTATTATTAGCTACCATCAGAGAGCAAGGCTCAAATGTAGCCTACTAACTTCTGATCAAGCGAACTTTTTAAAGAGAGTCAATATTGCTTATTTCTCTACCCCATGTTGGTCCTATTTATAATTTAGGTTTACCTTAGAAAGTTTAAATACACTGGAAAGCCTACTAAATTATCATACATGCTGTTTTTCGACACCATGTATGCTTCAGTGACGCAGTTGGGGCCATTACAGGCAAATTATTTAGGTTTAACTTACATTAACTTAAATAATTCTACAAATAGGTAACAATGTATAATATAACGTTATGTAATCTGTATATGCAGGTTTTAAATGTATATAAACAAAGCTATTATTTAAAGCAGAATGTGAGTGTTGTATAAAATATTGGACTATTTATTTATAACTGTAATGTAATGCAGACAAAAACGATATATGGTGAGCAGTATAGCTACAGAGTTGGAAAAGTAGTATAATATTGTTACTGCTACATTACAGTCAACATGTGACTTAGTGATACCAATTTGAATACAGCTATACACGTTTAATCATCATGCTTATATTCTATAGAGTCTATACAGCTGCAGCTTCTTTGATGAGCCTACTCTCGCGTTATTATAGTGAAGCATAATCGAAAAATAAATACTAAATAGGCTGCACTGCAAATTCTTATTTTGGATGTATTTGCTAGAATATAATTCAATAACCATTTTGATTAGAATTGTATTTTTAATTTAGATGATAATCAGACTCGAAAAGCAAAAATCGTCACTTATGTTTTTAAACCCTGTGGTAGCTGTCGTCTAATAAATCAGGGCCTATGGTTCAATTTCTGCGTAAAATGTAGTTGTTTCTATTTTAACCAATTGTTTTTTACATTTACTTAGAAACCTAAACTTGCTGATCTGTTTTTTCGGAATGAACTAATTTTGATAGCCATGATACACACACTCATAACGTATACCTGATCACGTTTCCTCTTTAGATCCCGGTTTTCAAATTTCTTAATTTCGGCCTTAAAGCCCTCGGTCTCCCCGGTGTCTTTGGCCAGGACGTCCATCAGGTAGGCGATGTAACTGGTGGCCAGGCGTAAAGTTTTAATTTTCGACAGTTTAGTGTCCGCCGGGACGTTTGGGATGCACTCCCTGAGCTCGGAGAAAGCTGTGTTGATGCTCTCCGTCCGCCGGCGCTCCTTCTTCGGCCCCGACGTTCTCCTCTTTCCCATCCCAGCCTGGAGCCCTTCCAGCCGGGCGTCATGCGTCGTTCCGGGCGCTCCGTGCTCCGCGGCCGGGTAGGGGGTCTGGATCTGGAACTCCGGGGGCATCTCGCCGTGGTTCACCACCCAGCTCTGGAAGTACGGTGCATCCTGGTGACACCGCTGGACGAACGGGAAGGGCTCGTGCATCAGGTGGTGGTGATGCTGGTAGCCCCCGATGAGGTTCATGTTGAGCGGTTTAACGAAAGTGGTCTTTGCCGTGTTTTCCCTCGCCCTCGGTCTGTCTCCGGTGCTGTCCCAAAACGGTCTGTGCTCGGTAGCAAACAGAACTCATTCAATACTTCTATATGTATTCCCTTGAATGCGTTAACGAGTCAAGCAAAGCGCATACTAACTTAACATGGTCGTCATTCCGAAAGTTTTTTCAACGAAAGAGGCCGTAAAAAAAGTGTATAATTCCAAATAACAAATCTCTGCGATGTGTTGGGCTCCAGTTTCCTGCGATCGCTTCCTGAAGAGGCTGCTCTGATTTGCTTCAAGAAATTTGACCCTGGTGAAGGTGTGAGGCCCAAGGTTTATATGATTTGGATGTCAGCGTGGTCAGGAGGCAGCCAATGGAGGAGAGCGCCCAGGGTGGGAGGAGAGTCCAGAGACGTTTGCAATAACATGTTCCATGGTGCTGTAATCTCACAGCAATACACAGGGAGCAAATATATGATGGTTGGATTTCGTTGCTGGATACATAGATTATGAGAAATATGAAAAAGTGGTTTAACTATCTAAAGTTTAGTAAATGGTTTGATTATTATTTAAATTGTTTTGCCCTTTAAATGCTTGAAGAGATTTTACGCACAGATTTTACGCACACTCAATATGGCTTATAGGATGTTTATTAGGTAGGTGTATTTTTGGAAATCCAGAGGCAAATAATTTCTGTTTTATTATTTTATTCTTGGTCTATCATATGGTAAATTGACATTAAGACAGTATGAATTAAAACACTTACAAATAAATCTCTAAATCCATTTGATTCTGAATTTGCGCACATATAAGAGAATAACACATACAACTGTCATTTGCTTTGTCTCACAAATTGTGAGACAAAGAAATTGTGAGTCACAATTGCAATCATTTTGAATGAACACATTTGATATAAAGGCTAATGTATTGAGATGTACTACCTCTTCTTTTAAGAACGAAACTTCGATTAATACATTCATTGGAGATGAAAACATTGCAATATACAATTAAATCTGCGTTTCACTGCAATGTACACGCTATACATGACTGATTTCCTTTCAATCTCCCTGAGTCAGTTGCTTTTTCTTAAAACATTTTCTCGGATTTTCTATATTTTCTTAAACGCGTAATGACCAAATTCAGACAGTGTTATCAGTCTCTCGTTTTCTGTAATAACATACCGTATATCAGAGCTTTCTGAGAAGTGTAAATGAACAGTTTGATGGATTATTTGGTAGCCTACTTTTTGGGACAGACACGCTCCACCGGCCTGTTGTCATCATATCTCAGCAGTATAAGGAACATCGGCGTTATCTCTGCATTAATTCCCCGCAGCTCCTTACACACTAAACATTATCATCTTGTCTCCATCGCCGAAAAACATTATCCCATTACATTGCATGACCTTGACGCTATTTAGAAACCATTTACGGCCGTGTCTTATCTAAATACAGCCATAAATCAGGTGGTGTCACCGGCTGTAGGACTGCATGTATTCCATAAAAGCTCTCCTGGCCTGTGCACTGTTTACATCACGGCCTTTTGCGGCATATTTCACCGTCCACCATCTCGTCATAAATAGTCATCAGTCACAACTTTATGTCTCTCATTTTACACGCATGCACATAATTTTCAAAGGAAACATTCAGATCATATTCATAAACGCGCATAATGCTTCATATTTGAACCAGGTTGTTTTTATAACAATAAATATATATACATCTATAATAGTCTTGAAACTGAGTGTAATGTTAATATTAGTGATTCTTGTATTATCATTAAATATTACCAACATTTTTCAACCAATACAATCTGTTTCATTTCTCATTATGAAACAGTGGAATTTAAGTCTATATGTTGTTTAACTTTACTCTTTAAAAACATTTATATATATCAAAAATATGACTTGACTGTACTTGTCTGCAGTAATGAATTTCTTCTGCAGATTCAGATTGAAAAGTCGAAACATCATAAACTCATAACTCATACAATGGATTAGTTTCAATTACCCAAAGGGGTTACATACACCACGTGCAGCGACACTAAAATGCTGCTTTCAATTTAATGCATCATTAATTTAACACTCAGAAGGTGTAACCCTTCCTAATGAGCATTTTTACTTCAGAGACATATTTTGTGACTTTTACTTCGGTAACATCTATAGAAGCATTATTGGAGCATTTTATAATGGCCTTATAATAACTGTTAATAATAGCCTTTTATTACTAGTTTATTAGTTGTTGTTTTTTTCTAAATAAAGTGCTTCATTGCCCAAACTGCAACACAAGAAATAATTTGGAACATTCAAAGAAAAACATCCTAAAGAGTTGAAAAACACTATAGGCAATAAATAAGATAATGCATGGTATTAAGTTACCTTTGTTAAAAGATATTTCTTTTAAAGTTGCCTTAAGTTATTCAAAACCAGAAATATTTTATTTGTCCCACAGTTGGGAAATGTACAACGAAAAGTAAAAGCCTTAACAATAAGTAACAGAGTATCTAAACAGGTCTGGGTTACATGATTATGATTAAATGAAAGCAGTATCCCCGACTCGCTTGAATACTTTTGTTTGTATCCGACTTCCTAGTATGTTTGTATATGTTTTTGCAACTTGTAACCCTTTAATAGTATTTGTATACCCTGGTTCCTAAAACCTAATGTAACCCAATAGCTGAATATTAATACATTTTTGATATTTAAATATCCCTAATTTTTGCAATATTGTAATGATACAAAAGCTTTTGAACATTGATGTAACTTTTGTTTTATTTTGTGAGGGAGGGCATTCATTGTAGTTATTTGAATGCAGGCTGTTGCTGCTTATGAGCGGTATGAGGGCACATCCTCCTCTCCGTCCTGTTTGCCACTCACATGCTACCTCGCTGTCAGCATGAAAAACACCATGCAGCCTCCTGAAAGAAAACCTGACACTGTTGATTAAGACGTCCACTACACAGAGATGAAATACAATACTGGTCATACTCCCATCCCCCTCTTACTCCTTCTCTCTCTGCATCACTCTCTCCTCCATTTCTTATTCTACCTCTTTCCATTCTGTCTCTCAATGCCTCACTTTCTACCAAACTTTAAACCAGAACCCTTCCTCTATTTGATCTCCTCCTTCTCCTTTTTCCTCTTCACTTGCTATCACTGGAGGAGGTGCTGAAAGACCTGGGCAGCAGTAATAGTCTCTTCATATTTTGCTTTCAACCCCAATAGGCTCCAGTCATCTCTCTCTCTCTCTCTCTCTCTCTCTCTCTCTCTCTCTCTCTCTCTCTCTCTTGGTGCTTTGCCAAGGGCAAACATCCAAAATAGGAATTGTTTGTGTCATCATGTAGATTTTTCAATAGACACTGCTTCCCTCCTCTTCAGAGTGCTTACCCTAAACTCTACATTTCCAAACAAATATTCCCCCTGATTCAAAACCGAGCAGAGCAAATGCTGCGGAGCACGCTCAACCCCCAGTGTTTATCATGCAGCCGCTCTTACAGTATATATATCCACCTCTGGCGTGCATCGACACTGACACGCAAAGCTAATTAAACCCATTGGGTACAATTAGACATGGCGGCTCCTCCTCATTCTGGGAAATGTGGGCAAACTAGGTCATGCCATGGAGCTCTAGGAGTCCATCAGAGGCCCAATGCTTGATGGGAGCCTGAAAACACGTCCCATTGTCCTCCCTAAGCCTGGCTGTGGTCGAGTAAGCCAGGGTACACATGGTGCAGTAAATACTGTTTCTATTCAATTAATACATATCCTGCTCGATTCTATAATATTCAAGGTCATGGTGAGGTCAGGTCTCATCTCATCAAGCTAACAGAACATGGCTTTGGAGAAAATCGAATCAAAAATTGGGATAACCAGATCAGCGCTCGTAAAGCAACTTCTGGTTATTCTCATCCCATTCTGATTTCAAGAAGTTTCAAATCACAAGCTGCACCATTTTCAGTTTGGTTTGCTCTCAAAATCAATGTTCAATGCAGTCTTCTTTTAGAAAATGATAAGATGTAAGGCTCCGTTCTCACATATTTCAAAAAACAAAACAAAAAGTTGCCTTAAGTTGTAGCCATGCAAATATAGAATTGTTTTTACGTCCCATTGTTTGGCTTTATCTCAGTCTTTGTGTATAGCACTCTTCTAATAACTTTTATAATTATTTTTTCACCAAAAATTCTAGTAGTCTTTGAATTATTGGCATTAACAGACAATGTTTCTATAAAAATTGTTTTACTTTGGAGTTTTTTAAGATGTAACGGAGCTGTGCTGAGAGCAATTATTAATATAAATGTAGATATTTCCAAACTTGGAAAGCTTTACCTCTTGAAATCAGAGGAACAGGGTTAAAAGACCCGTTTTATCCCCCCCCCCCCAATAAATAATACTTTTTCTTATCAGTGTGTCCTCTTACGTTAAATTAGCATTTTGAAATTGTATCTTTTTGCGATGTCTTTTTCTGCCCGTTTAGTTTTTAATGCATTTTTTTCATAACTTACAGCAACAATTATTTTCTTCATAGTGATGCAATTTGTAAAACTGACTGCAAAAGAGAGCTAGCTTTCTGCACGTTTTCTACCATAAATCAGATACACTCAATCAATCAACCAATGTTGACTGTGAGCTAAGACCTAATATCTCTGAGCTATTCGACGCGTGTGTTTTCGTGAAATATGATTTACATGTTGCTTATCTCATTAAGAAGTCTGGCATCAAATTAGCAGCTTAATTGACTTTATGTGTGCCTGACCCTATCCAGCCTGCATAATATGATGCGGCTGTGAACAATCAGCCATGTCTATGTTTTTTAATTCTTTTTTTGCATTTGTCTAAATAAGAATTAACTAAGCTTTTTTTATTTGTATTTTTTTATTCGTAAAATGGTTAAGGTTAACATAAAATGACTTAAAGTGGAACGATATTTTTGTGGATTGGACTAGTAAAATATAAAGCATATAAAACATGCAGTGTTCCTTACACAGAATAT